TATAATATCCCAATTCCCAATTTTGAAATGAATAAACTAATTAATAATATTGATACGCAACAAGTTCATTCGCATTATTCCCTAGAAACTACTTATGACTGTTCCTGGATAGCCGTTTTAGAGAGAACTGCTGGTCTTACAGATACCAATCTGGTCTCAAAACAAACTTTATTAAATTCTCTCCAACTTCATTATTTATGATACTTCACGTGAGGGGCGTATTATAGCAGATAACTCTCAAAATATGTGACCATTTTGAAGAAATTTCACTTTATCGCAAAAATTACCTATTTTCAAAGAACTGTATCTTGGGAACCAATGGCTGGCTCATCTTGGCTTCAGTTTATAGCAAATTTAGTTCAATCCAAAATTGAAATGGTGACTATACCGGTCTAACCCTTCCTTCTCTAAGATATTGAGCGAAATCTCAAAAATGTCCGAAAATTTCATTGTTTTTTGGGTATACCGCCGCTCGCACAGCAGTTTGGGAATTGCAAATCTGGTTTTTCAATATTGGTTTAGATCCTTACAACATATAAAGAATTCAGCACGACCGGACCGTTTGCAAGCACGACCCCCTTTTCATGTTTAACTTTACTGAACTATATTTTGTTTGACGCAATCCAACAATTCGAGCCACCCTGTATATCTGTTATTATTATAGATATTCCCATGCTGTGTTACATCCTATACAGGGTGTTTCCTAACTACGGTTCCTAACTGCAGGGGGTGATTTGTTAGGTCATTTTTAGAAGAAAACTTTCTATGAACATATGTCCGGAGTTGCTTCGTTTCTGAGATACAGGGCGTTGAAATTAAAGGAAAAAAAAAACGGTAATTATAAAATATCATGAATATCCTGGAACCGATTTGGTTCAAATTTGGTACTTCTATTTGTCAAATTCTCGAAAATTCAGCATATCAAGTGTCAATTATGTTTTTAGCAGAAATAATGAAAAACTCATTTCTCCAATGCAGGTGTTCATGATATGCAATACAGTGGCTTTATTTTTTTTTTCTCGGGAACGAAGCTGGATATGAAGAAAATACAGGAGACCAAAAAGTTTTATTTTGAGTTGCCCAATCTAGAAAAAATAATAATTTACCAAAAAAAGTCAGTGGCGTAATTTTTTTTCACGATATTGTTGGCTGTGGTGCCCACTGAGACGCCACTGGCCCCAATAATTTCAATCTAAATAGGGCTGACTAAGTGCCTTATTAGTTCAAATAAAAGTAGAAAATTTCAACCGAATCGCTTCCAAGATCTTCATGATATTTTGTAATTACCATTTTTTTCCTCCAATTTCATCGCCCTGTATCTTAGAAACGAAGCAACTCCGGACATATGTTCATAGGAACTTCTCTTCCTGAAATGACCTAACGAATCACCACCTGCAGTCAGGAACCGTAGTTATGAAACACCCTGTATATGTCGATATAAGCAATAATCGATATATGAATAATTTAACAATAATTCGATGGATACTGCTGAATTATGGCAACTATCAATCTACCGACACATCTGTATACCGGGTAATTCAAATTCGAATACCGAAGATACTTGAAAATATGGCAAAGATTCGCATATAGGTGTTTCAAAATATGCTGTCGAAAAAATGAAAGATGAAAAAAATTAGATGTCAGAAACTAGTTTCGATTATTTTCTGGAATAATGCCAGAATTTCCTGTTTTTGTCGTATGTCTCCGGAAATACTCCGGATGTCGAAATGTTCTGAGCCGTAATGGAGAACTTTGCCCTTATTTAGATCTGCGTATCTCCTAACTAAAGTTTTCGATATCAGAGTTGTGGCCCTCGAATTTGTAAAGTTTATGCAGTCAGTTGAAGAGATCATCAAACGAATGTCGGGCCGCGTTGCCGCACTCTTTGAACGTTCAAAGGGACCGACGGCTTGCGGTGATGTGTTTTTCCAACTGATTTTGCAAAAACTATACTACCTGGTATACTTGTATCGATATCCTGATACACATATCAATAGTTATCGATAAAAATATCAATGTATTTTTCGAACAACATATCGATATTTCTTTTATAGATATTCATCGATATTATGTATTGATAATTAACGATATATAGATATGTTTTCGCATGGAATTTGATAGAAAACAAGATGACAAACAAAAAAGTCTCCACACATTATTACTCGAAATCTCCTTATTACTGAAGAAAAATCATTGTTTTCCTAAAATTTTGTCAAGTCCGATATTGATATTTTCGCGAATATCTCGAGAACGGCACAAAATATTGAAAATCTGAATAGGAAAATATCCCTACAGTCCCGGTCAACATTTGCAACGGCCTACTACATGGAAGAACACTGAAGACCTTATCACGAGAAATTTAGTATGACGTTATGACGCGAAATAATCCAGTTCATTGAAAAAAAAAAGTGGTAAGGGAAACTTTTTCGTACTAAATTCGATAAAAAACTAGATGAACAAAAAAACTCCCATATATTATTACTCGAAATCGCCTCATTACTGAAAAAAAATATATAATTTCATTATTTTCCTAATTTTTGTCTTGATATTGATATCTTCACGAATATCTCGAGAACGGTACAAACATTGGAATTCTAAATAAAAAAACAGCCCTACAATCCCGGCCGCTGCGAAAGTTGACCTTGGCTGTAGGAGTATTTTCAGATCTAGATTTTCAATATTTTGTGCCGTCCTCGAGATATTTCCGAAAATATCAATATCGGAACCTAGGAAAATCTTAGGAAAACAATGGAATTCAATATTTTTTCAGTAATGAGGTGATTTCGAGTAATAATGTGCGGAGACTTTTGTGTTCGTCATTTTATTTTTTATCGAATTTCATACGAAAAACTTACCCTTATCAACTCGGAATTATTTCGCGTCATGACGTCATACTATTTTTTTCTCCCATATTTTTCCATGTGGTAGGCTGCTGCGGTAGTCGATCTGGGTTGAAGAGGTATTTTTATATTTAGATTTTCAATATTTTGTGCCGTTCTCGAGATATCTGCGGAAATATCAATATCGATACTCAGAAAAATTTCAGTTCCAGGAGCAAGACAGCAGATGGGCATTCAAGAGCATCATTAATCTGGGTGTGAACATAAATAAGTTTACTCCTCAATTCGGATCCTCATACATTGAGTTTCCTCCGCAAATCAAGCTGAGAAATACTTGCATCAACGTTGAAAATGATGATAATGCATGTTTTGTGCGGGCTCTTGCCTCTGCTTTGTATCCAGTGAATGAACATACCGATAGAACTTCTTCCTATACTCACCCATCTACCGTTCTCAACCCCAGAAGTTCTTGATTTTTGATGACAGTCTATTGAATTCCCCTTTTTGAGCAGCAGAATGGAATGCCAATTAATGTTCATATTCTCAAGCAAAATAGAAGAGAGCTGATTACTCTACCTACCTATTTTACTATTCGAAATGAATTCAATGAAGCAGGACATTAGAACATTGCTTCAGTTAGACACTACTACGTCTGGATTTTTTTTGTTCTCATCCAACATTCAGTTGCCCCCTTACGAGCAACCCTCAAAAGTCTTCAAGAGACAACAAGGAATGACGGGGGTATTACCTTTTAACGTGTGGTCCCAAACACTTTCTTAGGCCATCAGAGGATTTTCTGCGGTCGTGGTGAAAATCGCACCCACCTACCGGCAATCCAACGTGGATAGAAACTGAAACTATACTACCACGAGGCTACGCTGGCCATTAAAGACATTCAACCCAACTGAGCGGAAACGGACGCGAATATTTTTGTGTTTGCTGCTTGCACTACGTCAGGTCTCAAACTAAACTAGATGATCACATTGAAATGAATATAAAAATTGATGAAACTGCTATCAAAATGCCTGAAGAAACATATCTTGAAATTCAAAAATCACAAGAATAAAGGGAAAGTGCCTTTCATTGTTTACGCTGATTTTGAATCAGTTTTGAAGCGAACAGGAAACCCCAAAAAGCCTCAGCATAATATCCCTCCTTCTGTTGGATGTTACCTCAAGTGTTCTTATGACAATTCGATTTCCTCTTATTGTTCCTATCGAGGAGAAGACTAAATGGAATGGTTGGCATAGGAAATGAAGTGTATAAAAGTTAAGCAAGCCAAGGTTGGTTTAGTTCATTGTCACCTAACGAAGCTACTGTGTTAGCGGAACATGTGTGTCTAAGAATTTTGTGGAAATCTTATCGTTTGTGAAGTTTTAACATTTGCTATAAATTTCCATCAATTCCGAGTCAATTGAAAAAAAGAAAATGAAGTGGTTGGCAGAAGATATAACTATACCGTATTCTGATGACCTCATGATATTCATTGCCATATTTGTGAGTAGCAATTTGGAATCGATGATGTGAGAGTGAAAGACCGTGATTACCTAGTTCCAGAAAAAAATACAGAGGAGCTGCCCACGATTCTCGTAATATGAATCATAAACATAGTCCTCTGGTGCCTGTTGTATTCCAAAATTTGAGTGGTAACGAGGCCTGACATTACCAATGTGGGTAACTTTAACTTTATCATTATTACCAAGTCTTATAGACCCTTTTTAAGGATGGAGATTTGCAAACACATTCCTATTTCCTGTCATGTGTGACCTGTGTCAAAAATCTATTTATTGAAAACTTGCTTTGAAGGAGATGCTAGATACGCCACTTCATCTTCCGAATCATCACTGCATACTATGTTTGCCTCTAAATGTGATCTAGTTCACCTTGGTTTAAAAAAAATGGACGCCGCTCAGCTCCAAAATATACCTTCCCTCCCTCCTAATTTGAAAAAAAATTCGTGAAAATTGCTCCATAAATAATTTTATGGGGGTGGCCAGTTCTCAAATGGGTCATTTGTATGCTTGTTTCACCGCGAATTATAAAATTAATGCAATCCAATTATCTCAAGTTCCACTCAGTCAAAGAATCATCTATTATTCAATGAAAACTATCATCCATACTTAGTGCTCGCAAATTGCTGATAATATCGATTATACTTACTCCATTCTTGACGCATTTGGACCAGCGCAAAGACATATTCCTCAAATCATACATCTTTATATCCCCATTATCGTATCCTGCTGCTACGATTCTATCCACGTTATTGTACGAATCCCCGAATGCTACCGCCCAGCAATCTCTCGCTTGTTCTTCTTCTGTAGGGACAAACTTCGCGACGGGATAATCTTTTTGGCGGATATCCCATACCATCACTGAACCTAAGGGTAAATCGTATGTATCACATGGGTGAGAAACAGACAGAAACACTAAATATCACGCTTTCGAGTATCTAGGGGGATACAATATTAACTGTAACAAATGAAGGTCATAGTTACTAATAAAATTTCAGGCGTTTTTGGATAGCAACGTAGGTGATGAATCATTGGTGATTGGAAATACATCTCTAGTGTGAGTTATTTCTCTGGGGGTGTATAATTTGCTGACCAGAATAAAAGTATGCTGACCGAGCATTTCTGATTCGAATTTTCCCATCGAATTACATATTTGAATATCTCATATAGATATACAAATGCCACCAGTGGAATATTCACATCCACCCTTTCAGAGGGGTACTTTATTCTTGCAGTTTTTCAAAAATCCTTGCTGACCGAGCATTTCTGGTTCGTATTTTCCCATAGAATTACATATTCGAATATCTCATATAGATATATATAGATGCCACCAGTGAAATTATTCCGATCCACCCCTTCAGAGGGGTAGTTTCCCAGCCAGCAGGGTGGCAATTGGTCGTCGTCAAGATTCGACCAATAATTGACGTCATATTGACGTTCCAAGAACGTATCTGATAGACGTCATTTGACGTCATTTAGACGTAACATCTGCACCAATCCTTTTGTTTTATTTCGAAGAAATAACTACATGAACTGCATATCCTGTATTCACGATTGAACGCTTATCAAAATTGAATAGGAACCTACCTTAGTGAAGAGGATTCACGTATACCCGACATGGATAAAACTAAGTGGTGAAATATGTAGAACAGATATTAATAAAAAAACACCCTGAAAGAGATAACTTGGAAACAGATACGGAAGATTCAAGAATTTATTATATGTATACAAAATACGGTTATACCAGGTGCCTTCATGTTTTATATTGGCGCGCCACGTCAAGACATACAGATGCTTATGATTGGTCATTCCGTGCTCCGTGGCTTCGTGTGTCATCGTTCCGCACAATGCCACTACTACCCCTATCGGACATCGTCGATCGTAGCACAGTTTGTCGTAATCATGCGCATGCGTGATCCAGTTCATCGAATGTTGTAATGGCGGATTCGTGATTTTGGGTTATGGAAAACAAGGATACTATGGAAAAGTGGGGTTCAGCAAAATATATTGCAGTTCGCTGGTTATTTTATCAATTCCAAGCAATAGAAGTGTTTGTGGGAATTCAATATTCCGAGGAAAGGCATTGCTCTCGTTCAGTAAAAGTAGTTGACGCCATGACGCCTCGTAAGGCTGCGAAGTGTAGTGGCCGCCTTTCAAACAGCAAGACTTTTTCAACAGGTCAATAATTGAGAAAGCGAAATCTACAAATGAAACTTGGAAGTTGTTTGATGGAGTGAGGTCGTTATTTGAAGAAGGTAATCTATAAATACCTAAAATCGTAGTTACAAGGATAATTTGAGGTTATAAGTTGAGATTCCTTTGAAACTTGACATATTCGTTTATGTCTATATACTATGGAATATAGTGGATTTTATGCTTATTAGTTTTATTCAGATGAAGAATACCTATGTATAATTATGTGAACAAATAAAAAATATCGACAACTATTGTAACTAGATCATTTGAACTGTTTTGCCAACCATCAAGGAATAAGATCATGGGAAAGTGATTTCGAGTTTCACCGTTTCTTTGTGAAGTCGAAACCTGAACCTGATGCTTGGTGACTATTCGACGTGTAGACGACGTCGCTAAATGACGTTGTAACGACGTCGCTAAATGACGTTGTAACGACGTCGCTAAATGGCGTCGTTTCGATGTGACATATTGACGTCACATTTACGTCTCTTTCACGTCGATAATTTGGTCATCTCGACGTGATTGGTGCCGCGTATATGACGTGAAATTGACGTGTGAATGCTAGCTGGGTTATTCTTTCTGTTTTTCAAAAATCCTTGCTGACCGAGCATTTCTGGTTCGTATTTTTCCATCAAAATACATATTCAAACATCACATATATATTTATACATGCCACTGGTGGAATTATTTCGATCAACCTTTCCAGAGGGGTACTTTATTCTTGCAGTTTTTCAAAAATCCTTGCTGACAGATCATTTCTGGTCCGTATTTTTTCATCGAATCACATATTTGAATATCTCATATAGATTTATAGATGCCACCAGTAGAATTATTTCGATCCACCCTTTCAGAGGGGTAGTTTATTCTTGCAGTTTTTCAAAATTTCTTGCTGACCAAGCATTTCCGGTTCGTATTTTTCCATCAAATTACATATTTAGATATCTCATGTAGATTCATAGATGCTACCCGTAGAATTATTTCGTTACCCCCTTTCAGAGGGGTAGTTTATTCTTGCCGTTTTTCAAGAATCCTTGCTGGCCGAGCATTTCTAGTTCGTATTCTTCCATCAAATTACATTCATTTGGATATCTCATATAGATTTATTGATGCCACCAGTTGAATTATTCCGATCCACCTCTTCAGGGGGTGATTTGATGGAAAAATATGAACCAGAAATGCTCGGTCAGCAATGATTTTCGAAAAACAGCAAGGATAAACTACCCCTCTGGAAGGGTGGATTGGAATAATTTCACTGGTGGCATCTTTAAATCTATATAAAATATTCAAATATGTGATTTGAAGAAAAAATTCGAATCAGAAATGCTCGGTCAGCAAGGATTTTCGAAAAACATCAAGAATTAACTACCCCTCTGAAAGGGTGGATCGAAATAATTTCACTGGTGGCATCTATCAATCTATATGAGATATCCAAATATGAAATTCGTTAGAAAATACGTACCAGAAATGCTCGGTCAGCAAGGATTTTTGAAGCACTGCAAGAATAAACTACCCCTCCGAAAGGGTGGATCGGAATTGTATTACTGGTGGCATCTATATGTTCATATAGAATATCCAAATATGCAATTTGAAAAAAGGATTCGATCCAAAATCGTTTGGTCAGCATACTTTAATAATTTTGGTCAGCAAATTATATTTCTCCATTTCTCCGTGACGTTAGTCATAGCTCATTCAGGGCATATCTGAGTATAATATTCACAAATCAATGAACAATAACTTTTTGTCTAAGTAAAATACTTTCAAATTGAATGTTGCTGCATTTGCAGTTTGTCTTGGAAAGATAGCACCCGAAATCTTCTTAAAAAAAGTTTTCCATTAAAAAATGGAGATAGCAAGATGTGCTACGAGAAAACCGTCATAGGTAATTTTTTTTCCGTTGAAATGATAGTTCCTGAGAAGTAAGTGGAGAAATCTCATAAACAAATACTGTTTTCAAACGATTTTTTCCCACCTTCTACGAATTTTCATGTTGAGGGTACCCTCACCACACCGTTTCAGTATAAGATTAGGTAATTTTGTTAGTTCCCATGTCTTTTTCTGTCAAAGTAAGTACTTCTAGTATATATGTAGGTTAGGTTAGGTCATAGGTTATTTCATGTGAGTGGGGGCAAATACTATCCTCAACGAGACCAAATGTGTTAAAACTCAGTCAGTATAAACACGGGCATGCACATATACTGTCACGTATGTGGAGGAACCATGGAATAAAATCTTAATGATTTTATCAGAATGAAGATTCTCAATTATAAATTCACTTTCCCAAATTGAACATCATGTACTTTGGTTTTTACAAAATTGCAAATTACTTAACGTGCGAAACTACCTAAGTAATGAAACATGGCATACTATTTACAATCAAGAGAGTTTGAATTCAGCGTGCAACAGCTTCGCGAATTTGATGTTCTATTATTTGGATTCCTGCTTTCCTCTTCGTAAAATATCAATTGACAGCAAGAGAAAATTATGTGATAACGATTTAGCTAAGACCAACCATGATTATAAGGACATCAGCAAATATTTGCAGAAAAATTACTGTAATGCTCTGAGAGTGGCTAAAACCAATTTCAATGACATGAGAAATCAGGAATCGGATAATTAAATTAAAACAATGTGGAAAATGATTAATGGACTGAAAGCCGGTAATGATTAATCTAACGTTTTGACTATTACACAAAATAATTCTCTTTTACCAGATAGGATTGTAGCTGATCATTTTGCGAATCAGTTCACTATCAATTCAGTGAAAATTCAGTTGAATCATTAATAAGTAGGCTCAAATCCTCCAATTCTTCTGGTAATGACAACATTTCCAATAATTTATTGAAAAAATGCAGCTCCTGGATTAGTGCTCCGCTGAATTATCTGATCAATTTTTGTTTTCAAGAAGGAAAATTCCCAGAGAATTTCAAACTCGCGATAGTTCAACCTCTGCACAAGAAAGGGGATCCAAATGATTTTGTGAATTACAGAGCAATTAGCCTGTTATGCAGTATCTCTAAATTGTTTGAGATGGCAGTAAAGGATCGGTTAACCAAGTATTTAGTCAAGTACAAACTCCTATCACCAGAACAACATGGTTTTTGCAGTAACAAAAGCACAGAATCGGCACTCTGTGAGTTCAGTCAGAAGATAATTTCAAGTATTGACAAAAAAAATTTCGTTTTGGGTATTTTCATTGACTTCTCAGAAGCTTTCGATCTAGTGAATCATCAGTTACTTTGTGCCAAGCTAAAAAGATATGGAATAAGAGGTTTGCCACTGAATTTAATAGATTTATATCTCAGCAGGAGGAAACAAATAATTAGAGTGAACAACACTTTTTCTGATGTAATGGATATCGAGCAAGGTTTGCCACAGGGTTCTGTTTTAGGTCCTCTTCTTTTCAATATTTTCGCTAACGATCTTATTCTTTATATTCGAAAGATACAGAATGTTCATGTTACGTGTTATGCAGATGATACGAATATTTTGGTTATTGATGAAGATCTAAAAAGGCTAAAAAGTACTGCTGAAATAGTTTATTCGAATATTGAGAAATGGTCAAAAAATAAAAATATACAACTTAATCATGGAAAAACAATAACTGTTCTTTTTGATTCCAGCAGGATTGATGTAGTGAAACTATTTGAAGATTCTAATAATGAAATAACCAG